AGCTCGGAGCTTGGAGCCTTGCAGCCTTGGCTCACAGGCAGTCCCCTTCCCACTTCTTGCCCAGAACTGGTTCTTGGCCCTCTCATCCCTGCTCCCTGGTGTCCCAGACCCCATCCAGCCTTCCAGTCTCACCCCTGCCCCAAGATCAGGAGCAGCAAGCAGGTCACATGGATTAGGGGAGAGGCCCATGAGCTACATCTTCCCTTGCCCTCTGATCTTGGGTGGGGTCCCTGGATGGGCCATGGGGAGGGTCAGGTGCATGCCCCATACCATCTAAGAGAGGAGCAATGGTCATCCTTACCCAGAGCTGGCAGCACCAAGACACATTCCACGGGCAGCTCAGTGGGGGCTTCTCACTCATCTCCCTAATTCATATATGGAGAATTTCCCAGCCTGGAGGTTGCAATCCTTTAGAATTCCCAGTCTGGAAGTTGCTGTGGTTTGGGGGGCAGACCCTGCTGGCCAGGGTCCTGCAAATTATGTAGCTGGCCGTACTAAGAATCTTTCCCGTTAACCCAGCTTCTCTCCCTGTTTTTGATAAAGGCATTACCCTTCCCCAAATCTCCCCAGTGTGGAATCTCTGAGTCATCACCATCTTCCCTCCTTCCTCACCCAAATCCACTCCTGCAGGCCATCTCCCATCTGTCCCCGGCTGCCCAATCCCACTGTTCCGCTTGAGTTTAGTTGTTCATCATGGCTCCACCAGACCACCATAATAGGCTCCTAATTGTCTTCATAGTTTTGAGCCTCCCCTGTTCAATCCATTCAGCCACTGCCACCAGGTCACCCAAGACACCATCATGTCAAGATGGTTAATGGCTCCCTGAGGCCTACTGTTAAAGAACTTCAAACTCTTTAGCCAGACATTCAAACTCCTTCCCTCTTTTGCCCTCACCTTACTTTTGCATATTCATTCTATAGCACATACTATACTTTGGCACATGCTATACTTTGCACATGTTATATTTTGGGCAAATTAAACCACCTACTGTCCCCTATATATATTTTGGGCTTGATCATCACTTTGTCTCTGCTGAAGCCAGTTTGCTATACCTGAATCACCTGCCCCTACCCAACAACCATCTCCAATTGGGATTAGATTTCCCTGTTTAATAGCTTGAAGAGCACCTCCTCCAGGAGTCTTCCATCACTGAGCCCAGTTACAAAGTGACTCCATTTTCCTCCAAGACAATACCACCATTTGGTTTTTGCCATTTATTAAGTACAGCTTGATACTAGTTTGTTGTTTGTGTTGCATGCAGCCCTCGACTGTAAGCACTTGGAAAGTAAGAAGCATGTCCTCTCCCCTTTGTCCACCCATAGGCCCCCTACCCAAGGCCTTAGGTTTAACAAGCTCTTGGTGCATGTTTGTTGGAACTAATGAATAAATGAATCTGCTGTGTAAACAGATCAGGTCTTCTGAAAGCCTGGCACACCTGTAACCCTTCTGCGTCATCCCCTTTCCTCTTCTCAGTTCACCTAACAAAACATCCTGCTGCTTTTCAGACCCAAGCCCATCAAACACCTGTATCATCATTATCAACACTAACAAAAATTCATCTCGCACTTTTATTAATGTTTAAAGTGTTATATTCTGAATGCTTAGAATAATCTCAAAGAGAACACCTGTTACTTGAGTGCTCTTATTTTCAAACTCTTGAGGGCAATTTTTTCATTACTATATTAAAGTGGGCTGTTTAATAACTTATAACTGTTAGAGAAAAAAGGTAAATTGCAGTCACCATGATCCATATTGGATACCTAAAATGAATGGAGGTTTTTTTTTACCCCCACTTGCAATTCTTTATTTTTCTCCTAATTTCAAGTCTGTTTTTTAGAACAAATTGCAGAAAATAATGTAAAATAATGAAATAAAATGATGGTTTTTGCTAACAAAATTTTTATTCAACTTTACCATTTCATTAAATATTCTACCCTTGGCCCCCAAATGCCATGCTTATCATAATTTCAAAAGGGTCTTCAATGCCTTTCTCTTGCCCACATTCCAATCCTCCAAGAGGATCAGCAATATAATTATCAAATTATCAAAATTTGAAGCTCTGTATGATGAAACTTCATCTCCTAAAGAAAAAAAGTACACTAGCTGAATGTGAGCAAGAAATGCCTTAAAAATATAGTAGTTAATAAAGAATCAAGAAGGATGGTTATATTTTTATATAGAAACTCCAAGACATTTCTTTATGTATGATAAAAATTGAAACAATATCATGATAAAAGAACATGCTTTGGGAAGGTTATCATTTTTAATTAAGATAAATCTGTAATAGCTAGAAATGGAAAGGATGGGGGAAATGCTAGAATTACGGAAGGATGTAACATTAATAGAAGCCTATAAAAAGTTTATATTGAAGAGTTGTTACTAATAGGAACAAAGTGTCAAATATTTGGTAGGCTAGGATATGGTTAGGTGTTACCAACCACATTTAAGGGAATTTTAAGGAAAGAGTGAAAGCATAGATATTTCTATATTCCTTGAATGTAAAGCTGGGTTCTAAAATACTTAATTTAAGGATAAAGCACGGCTCAGCAAAAGATTAGGCTGGTCAAACAAGTTGAGTTCACATCTCAGTCCCAGATAATGAGAAAAACAATTGAAAATAAGGTAACAAGAAAGAAACAGAATACTAGCAAACTAGATATCATTGTCATCATAAACTGTTACCATATACTGGGTGACTGCAACATGTCAGGTATTGTTTTAGGGCCTTTAATGCAATATCTCATTTTATTTTCACAACAATAATCTTTGCGAGGTAGGTATTATTATACCCATTTTACGGGTGAGGAAATTGAGACTATACAAGATTAAGAAATTCTCCCAAGGTCACACTAATGGTGACTGTGGTGTATTATAATAAAGGAAAAAATAGTTTTATCAAAGAAGAATAGCATAAATAAGACAAAGAAAACAAACCAAGTTAAAAACACAGAAACATATAGTAGAAACCAATGGAGAAAGACAAGAGAAACTTTCTAACCAGATAGAAATGAAAGCAAAGTAAACCAAGATCTTAAACTCCCAACCTGTATAGCATCCCTCCCCCATCTGCCTTTTGTCAGTGCTTCCAACAACCCCGTCTTTTTTACAGCCATCCTTACTACCCTGGGAGGAAAAAAACTCCCTTTTCCCAATGTCAGCTTCCAAATGTTAAAAGACAACTTTGCTTTATACTCTGTCTGCAGACTAAGGGGCGAGCCCACCTGAAGCAGCAGCTGCTGAAAACCTGATTTTCTATGCCTGTGTTAACACCTATAGCCACAATTCTAGGCAGCAGGAAGACAAATTAACTGCTGAAGAGGCAGAGAATTATGCTCTTGAAGAAAGGACAGTATATGAACAGTACTAAATAAAAATTAGGAGCTAAAAGAGGACAGTAAGAAATAAAAGCTATAGAAATGGGAGAAAATCAATTGGAGATGAATAAAAAAAGTAAAGGCAATAAAGAAAAAAGACTGCAATTCCAGGCTATAATAAGTATCATCCAACTAGCAAGGAATTTTTTTTAGCCCAAGCACACAATAAGGATATGGAAATAATAAGAAAGAAAAGAGTTTGTGATTGTTCATTAATTTTTTACAGAATCTTCAACATAGGAATTATTAAATTCTTTTATTTATTGTAGAGAAAGAGACACTTGTTGAAAACCATTAATTGGTTGCTTGACCTAAACCTATAAAAGTCTTTAGGAAGGCTATAGTGAACAATATAACAAAAGGTTAACAAAAACAGTATTTTGACAGGCAACCTTTAATAGTAAAGTGTTCTGTTGACAGACATCTCACAAAAATATGAAACTTGGTTTTAGTACAAGCTAGTCAGTTTTCTATGTAAAATTGTCAACTTTCAGAGAAAATTTTACCTTTAGTGCCTTCCTACCACTTTGCTATTCTGATCAACAACCACCAAACTCTAGTAAAACATGTTGCTCCATGAGACCATGGAAGAAGTACTCATCTAATGACTATAAAACTTTCATAACCAAGTATAAGAACTTTCAATTCTTATGAACCCTGAAGTCTCATGGAAAGTGACATCCAGTTTCATCACATTCAGTGAATAAATACTGAAGAAATTAGAACTGACTGGTTTTCAGATCCAGTATCTAATATCAAGTTCAAATCGCTATGAAAATGAAAGGCTTAGAAAAACCAGACAACAGCATGTCAGGTTTCCTTTTCACCTTGAAACTAGCATGTTTACCCTGCTAATAGGCTTTAAAGCTGCCAAAAATTTATCAGTTTTTAAAACTTTTTGTTTTTCCAAAAACTGAAATGCTCCCAAATATCATTTTTGCTTCTTTCACTAACTAAAAACCTACTTCCTCAGTCCTGTCAAAAGTTAACTGCAGATAATGCTGTATTCCAGCCTAAAGCTAACTAGCTCCTCTGGTTGTTCAACCTGTCTAACCTCAACAACAGAAACAGTTAAAATAAGTGCTGAGAAGGCACAAACTGGTCAGAGCCCCATCCTTCCTCTGACATTCCTCTCCCCTTCCTCGTTTTCCCTGCCTTGGAACTCATGAAACTTTAAGCTAGAGAAGAGGATAGGGAAGCAGTTAGGCATTCTGTTCCCTTTCCAACTTTGAACCAGACAATGAAAACGCATTATGGTCCTACATCAGAAACACCAAAATGCCCATTTTCTTCAGACTAACATTGGAATTCTGGGGGAGACATCGTTTTTTAACAACTCACAATGCATACTAAAACCATACACTGATATTAAAGACAGAGTATCTTGACAGAGAAACACGTGATATTATTGGGTGATATGACTTTTCCATAAGCCACTGTGTATTAAGAAAAGATCGTTACATCAAAGAGGGTGTAGTGTAAACTCCAGAAGGAATTTAAATAGCAAGATTTGTATTTGTAAAGAGCCCCAATTAATGTGTTTCTGGATGCCAAAGGGTAACCAACCCAGGGCTTGGCTCCCAAGCCGGTGGGCTCTGGGAGAAGAGGAGGATGCAAAGTCCTACCTGGTAGGCATCAGGAATGTTGACCGTTTCTCCATGCTCCCCGACATAGCCAATGATACCTTTGCCCCAGGGGACCTGCACCTCATTTGAGTTCTCTGTGCTGCTGCTGGGCAGCAGCGGGGTTCCTGCATGCACATCAAAGAATTTGGAGACCAAGCTCTTCTTGCCAGCAGCTGCCCCTTCCACCAGGAAGAGAGAACAGCGGTCAGCGTCCACCATGAGGCAGACAAAGATGAGGATCTTGTAGCTTAGGCTGGTGAGGTCAAGGTCATTGGAGATATCCTTGACCAATTCCAGGAAGAACTGACGCTCATTGTGCTTTTTGAGGTGGCACTTGTAGTCGATGGCCGTAGTGGGATACTGAGGCAGGTTCACCCTTGACTCCAGCAGCGCACTGAGAATGTGGGCTGTGGTGGGGGGCAGGGAGCTGGCCTTCCGGAGAAGCGCTCTCCGCCGTACACTGCTCAGGGGCTCTTGGGCCCGGGAGGTCACCTGTTCGTCGTAGGTCCTGTTCACATGGATGGCCTTGGAGCGGGCAAAACTCTTCCTCAGCTCTTTCTGAGAAGCTTTCCGCTGCAGGCTCCCGTCGCCCCGGCCGCCACTGGCCCAGCTGGGACTCAGGGGGACCCCACCACAGTCCCCGCCACCAGGAGCGGGCTGGCTGTTGGCAGAGCCATTTGGTCCAGTGCCACCACCAACGCTGCCGCCATCTCTGCGGGTGCCGTGAGCCAAGCTGCTGGTGCGGGCCGGAGCGGCCCCGGGGCCTAAAGCCCCCTGCCCCTGACTGTTCCTCTGCAGCCACTTCTCCACCATCTCCTGCTTCCCCTTCCGCATCAGGTAGTCTTCAAACAACTCTGGGTGCCTGTCCAGGAAAGTTTCCACCTCCCCAAAGTCCAGGCCAGAGGCTGTCATTGTCCCAGACACAGCTGTCCTTGCTTCTTTACACTTGGACGGAATGGTTTACCTGCCCGGAGGCCTCTAGCTGTCCCTGCACATGGTCACCCACCAGTATTCCCAGCTCGGTGCCACCTCCCCGGCCGGCCAGCCGGAGATTATTCCCAGCAGTGGAATCCCAGCTGGGAGGCGCCCCTTCCTCCTCCGGCTGAGTGGCTGGCACCGCCCCACCCCTGGTCCCGCTACTCCTGCGCCGCTCAGGTGACGGGCGCTGCGCCGCCGCCGCGCTCCTGTCCTGGAGCCGGGGAGCTGTCGCCGCTCTCGCTCTGCCGCCGCCGCCGCCGGTGCTGCTGTCGCCGGATGAGTGGACCACTGTGACAGGGAGGTAGGGCAGGACACGCCCCTGAGTGAGGCGCGGAGCCCGGAGGGAGGAGAGAGGCGGGAGGAGGGCGCGGCGGACGCCGAGCAGCCAAAGTCCGCGCCCGGGATGCCGGGCGGTTCCTGGAAGAGTCTCCGGCCGGCCGGAACCCGCGCCTGGGAACGCGGCCGAGTCCTGCTTGGAACGCGATTAGAAGAGGGACACGCACCTTGTTCCTCCCCCTCCTTCCTTCCTCACCTCCCAGCGCTCCCTACTCCCCGCCCTTAAGCGTTAGCGCTTCTGGGAGGCCCGGCGGGAGCCCGGCCGGAGCCCTGGTAAGAAGAAGAGTTGGGTCTCGCGGGCCGAACCCAGAAGCGGGCTCCGAGGAAATCGGGATGCTCGGAGACAGGCGGGGTTGTGTTTCTGGGATGTGACCGCAGAGTGTGGGTTCCCAGGATTCCTGGGATTGCCCACTAACACTGCCCAGCACCCTGTGGGCGTTCAGTAAATATTAACGGAATTGAATTTCCCTGAAATTAGCAAACGAAGTTCCCAGTCTGAGCAATTCATGACTCTAAGCAAGTTCACGGACCCAGGGCGGGGAAGGTTACCTGGAGGAAGGGTGCAAGACACAGAACACGCCTCCCTCGGTAGCGGAGGGGATTGGTTCTAGGCCCCCTGCGTATATCAAAATCCAAGTCCCTAATATAAAACGGTGTAGTATTTGCATATAACCTACACACACCCTCCCCTATACTTTAAAGCATCTCTAGTTTACTTATAATACCTAATACAATGTATGATAAGTGGTATGTAAATAGTCTTTATGTTGTATTATTTAGGGAACAATGACAAGAAAAAATGTCTGCACATGTTCAGTACCCATTCAATCATCCATTTTTATTTTCCAAATATTTTCAATCAGACGTTGGTCAAATCCACAGGTGAAGAACCCACGGACACAGAGACAGACTGTACTTGGATTAAGGAGACCCTGTCTAGCAGGGGCTTATAGCAAAGTGGACCTGAGGGGCTGAGGGGACTTCTTTCCAGCTGGCCCTGCCCACTGTGGGGGGGGTCTCCTTTCCTGATAACTTGCTGTCTCCTCCTTCTTCCTCCACTCAATCCCATAAGACCACGAAGCTTCCTTTATGTCAGTGTCCTGGGGCTTGTGTATAACAATGCCACCTCTGTGGGGGGCTTTTCTTTCTTCTGTCCTGGGTATGCTCTGGATCTAGCTGGTCTCTGCTAGTCAGCCAGAGAATCACATCAGGCTTCCCTTGGGATTTGTCAGGAAAGAGGGGCAGGCTGAGAACACTTTCTTGAAGTCCAGGAAAACAGGCAGAGAAACAAAAGCAGGTGGAGAACCTGGGACAACAGGACAATACATAACTACTCCTGCAGATTTACAGAATACCAGTGATGAGGGTCATAGAAAGAGCTGCAGAAGGGGGCAGTGGAGAGTTTTACAGGGCTTCCATGTGGCAGACGAACACAGGTGACTTACACAGTAAGGCAGGCTCACTCCAGGAAGGTGTTCTCAGAGCTAAGAACACAGGTGTATGGAGCACTTGCTATGTGTTGATAATTTTAAGTTCATATATTAATTTAATCCTTACAACAGACCTATAAGATGGGGACTTATCCCATTTTAAAGATGGGGAAACTCTGAGAAACTAAGTAACTTATCCCAGGCACACAGTCAGATCTCTCCAAGCCGGGGTACCGATCTATTTAGTTTGGCTTCAGGGTGAGACTCACTCTTAGCTACATCACTGGATTGTCTCCCAACTATGTTAGCTGAATCCATCTGTGTTAGGATGTGAGCCAGTAACAGCAATGCAGGGACTGGGGTAGACTGTCCTCTAAACATTCCTCTGACAGCACCAGGAGGAGCTCAGAGGGGGAAGAGAGGCACTTGTTCCAAACTTCCCAGCTTAGTCAGCATGGCTAAGAGCATGGCCTTGGCACTGGATGAGAGTGTGAACAAAACAAAGACTCTGCCTTCAAGACAGCCAGCAAACAAATAAGAAAATAAATTTATGAAGTACAAGAAAGTTAGTGATAAGTGCCATGAAGAAAAATAAAGCTTGGTAACAGACTGGATAAAGGGATGGGTGGTAGGAAAGCCTTTCTAAGGAGGAGAGGACAGCTGAGTAGAAATCTGGTGGAAATGAGTCAATAAGCTGTGTTGATATCTGGAAAAAGAATGTACCAAGTAGAGGAAGCAAGTGCTAGAGTTGTGAGATATGATGTGTTTGAAGTATTTAAGAAACAGCAGGGAGACCAGCTAGAGACAGTAAACCAAGCATAGTATACTGGTAGTTTGGAACTTCCAGCAGCCAAAAAGGTGAGTGGTGGTCACGAATTAAATACAGAAAAAGTGCTTAGCACAGTGCCTGGCACATAGAAAGTGTTCAAGAAATATTAGCTGTTGTATTACTTCTATTATTAACATGATTATTATCCTAAAGTAATATTGTATGGAAATTTCACTGCAGGTGGCCACATCTCTGGTCACTTGAGTGATCAGATGGTTAGTGGTACATTGGACTCACAAAAGCCTATTTTAGTATCTCTTTCCAGTTCTGCATTTAGTCACATTATGTAGCTTGCAATCAGCCATGATGGAAACATGTACACCATGGATATCAGCAAATGTTACGAGTCAGGTTTTTTTTGTTATAGATTGCTAATTGTTAAAAATTTATGCATATTCAGTGGAAACAATCCAAATGTCCATATACTAATGAGTGGATAATGTGATATAACCACGCAATGGGATATTACTTGGCCATAAAATGGGAGGAAGCACTAGTACATGCGACTACTTGAATGAACCCTAAAAACATTATGCAAAGTAAAAGTAGCCACTCACAAAGGACCACATATTATATAATTTTATTTATATTAAATCTAAATAGGCAAATCCATAGACAGAAAGTATATTACTTTCTAGATGGAGAGAAAGGTGGGTGACTGCTAATGTGTATGAGTTTTTAGGGGATGGGGAATAATAAAAATGTTCTAAAATTGATTGTGGTGATGGTTGTACAATCTGTGAATATGTTGAAATTCAGTGAATTGTACACTTTAAATGGGTGAATTATATGGTATGTGAATTCTATCTCAGTAAAGCTGTTACAAAACAATAACAACAACAATAAAAACAATTTACTAGCACAAGACTGGTGACAATACAGCAGCAGAGTTGTACATGGAGCCAGGAAATGAGGCAATGAGCTGTCCCCTCATCCTCAGGGAAGGGAGCAAAGTAGACCAGCCCTGGGCTGCCTAGAAGGTTTAATAAATAGACATTTACTTAATGCTATCTCCCATGTATTCACTATACATGCAGTTATTTAGCACTTATCACGTTCCAGGCTCTAAGAACAAAAGAAGGCCAAGACAAAACCTCGATCTCATAGTCTACAGCGCCAGCAGTGAGAGTAGAGAAGAATACCAGGAAGGATGGGAAAATAATAGAAGAGAGATCTGGGGAAACAAATTCAACATTTCTGGCTTGGTTTTGAATTGGCTGTAGCCATGTTCCCTGCTTGGTACATGAAGTCGCTAAAGGCTGGGGAAGAATGGTTAATGGTTGGAGAAGAGAGTGAGCAGGTGACAGAGAGCACACATAATCGGGTGCAGAAGGCTGTGATGGAGGGCTGCAAAGTAAGATGTGTGTGGAATGTGGCCCCAATTGCCATTTTCTCCTCACTCTCAATCTGTAGAATGGTATGTATATTAGTGATAGTCCCAGTAGGAAACACAGCACACTCAAATTAAATTCTAAGAGGGTTAATTTACAAAGGGACTAATATTACAAAGTTGGAGTATGGATAACTGCATGGATACTGAAGAAAGCTGGAACTCATAGCAGCAGAGAATCACCTCCCCTAGACCTAAGGGGAAGAGGCAGGGAAAGGTTACCAGGAATCAAAAGGAGAGAGGATTTTTAGTGACATCTGCCTTAAGGGGAGCAGTGACTCGTTGAACAATATGGACAGCTCAAGCTGACCTCAAAGGAGGGATATCAGGAATAAATACCTTGAATTCATTCTTCTGCCTCCCTCCTATCAGTGACCAGACCCAACCAGAAGCTGGAAGGTGTTGGAACCTATTGATGGAATCTATATCTTCCCTGGGCAGAGAGCAAGGGGGACAAAGGAGGATCTGTAAGATCTAGAGGGGCAAATGGAAGATACTTGGCCCAATATGGAATCTTGAAGAAGTCCCCCTAGGAAATAATGGCCCAATATGGAACTTTTAAGAGGTCCCTTTAGGAAATAAAATTTATTCTCATTCCCTCATTAAATTCTCGTTCCCTCATTAAATATAGCTCCAAAGAATTTTCTGTGTAATTCTGCCCTCTTCTGCTCATCTGCTAATTCCATCAAAACTATCTAGAATACAATCTACAACATTTGCAGTTTATAAAACCCCCTTGGGCACAAACTATCATACCTCAAAAGATACGATATGGTGAAGATAGATCAGTCAGCTCAAGGAAGAGGCTCTGCAGACTCCCTCCCCATCTACGCTTCCCTCTTTCCACCAAGCTGGATATGTTGTCCAAGTAGCCTTCATTGGAGAAGATAAATGGATCTTCCTATCTGTAGTTTGCAAGAATTCAGGGATTCCTTTTTGATCTAAGTATCTATTTCTTTATCATTGCCTTTGCCAATTAGCATTTGAGTACTTTTAATGTATAAAACACTGGGTGACATGCAAGATAACTTTTGTTATTCCAAAGGGAACCCAGCATTTTGGGGACCTTATGGACCATCTAATATCACACTTTCCACATTTTACACACGTGGAAATTTAGAACTAGAGCAGAAACATACTTTTTTTTCAAAGTTACCTGTCAAGCCAATCTTGATCTGCTCCTGGTTCCATCTCACACTTACCAACATTCTACAACTTAGTACCAACCTCTTGAAGCCCAAGGAACCTCTGTCTCGTAAGTGTGCCTGCTAATCATTCCCTCTCCTAAAACAGAGATCACTGATTCTCATTGTGTACCAGCAAACATCACCAGATATGTAAAGGGAGGCTGATGTATAACAAACCACCTCAAAATTCAGTTGCCTACCACAGCAATTTTTCTACTTCTCACAATTCTGTAGATTAACTCAAAGGTCCCCAACCTTCTTGGCACCAGGAACTGGTGTCA